CAAGGAAACGGATACCAGCTGATTTTCTGATACCCTCGTATGAATGACGACGCTCTCGCATGGCCGAACTTTGCTGCGGCAATTTCCAGGCGCCTCTTGCGACGATGCTTTGAACTAGCTCACTTATGCAGATGTGCGTCGAACAGAAAAATACGCTTGAGCCACAAAAACTTGAACCATAATGGCTACGGACCTCCCTGAGGCCGTCTTCGGGGCCTCCTGGGCCGGCTTCGGGGCCTCTTGGGCTGTCTTGGGGGGGTCCGTCAGCCCCACAAGCCGACCCTTTTGGACCGTCTTGGGCCCTCTTGGGTCTCTCTTGGGCTGTCTTGGGGCTCCTCGGGGGCGTCTGGGGCACTGCGAAGACGAAGCAAGCGAGTATGCTGAAAATGTACGTTTTACGCAGGAAATGGGCAGATGTTTGCCTCTTGAAGGCCCTCTTGGGGCCCTCTTCGGTAATCTTCAAGCCATCTCGGGCCCTCTGGGGCCTCGATGAGGCTGTCTTGTGGGCCTCTTTGGCGCCCTCGGAACCTGGAAATCATGTTCCCAGAGAGGCTTCCGGGAATCTGATTTCAAACGAGGCCCTCTTGGGCCTCCCTGAGGCCGTCTTGGTGGCCTCCTGGGCTGGCTTTGGGGCCTCTTGGGCCGTCTTGGGAGGTTCCGTCAGCCCCACAGGACAACCCTTTTGGGCCGTCTTGGGCCCTCTTGGGTCTCTCTTGGGCCGTCTTGGGGCTCCGCGGGGCACTGTGAAGACGAAGCCAGCGAGTATGCCGAAAATGGGCGTTTTACGCTGGAAATGGGCAGATGTTTGCCTCTTGAAGGCCCTCTTGGGGCCCTCATGGGCCCTCTTGGGGCGCTTTTGGGCGTCTTGTGGGCCTCTTGAGGCTTTCTTGACCATCTGTACGGCCCGCGTGGCCTGTCGTGGGCAATTTGGAAGCGGCCCAGGGCAGTCCCGGGGGGTCTGTGACCCGCAAAGGTTCGGGGGGGCGGCCATGGGGGATGACGTCACCAATGTTTGCCCCCCCCTCCCCCGCCTATATATATATATATATATATATATATATATAGATACGTATGTATATATATATATATATATAGATGTATAGATGTATATATATATATAACATCTATCTGATGTGCTCATAACGTAGTCTCGACCCATTCCTCGGGACTGGCTTTTCATCCTGAATCGTTGTTTGACGGCCCCAGGGCCCAGCAATGGCCCCCAGAGGCCGCAAGTAACGAAAAGCCTCCCGTCGTGATTTCTGCCATGACCCGGGGGGGTCTGGGAGAGAGGGGCCTTCTGCTGGGGGCCGCCCAGGAGCCTCAGGGGGCCCCGCCTCCCGCGCGTCGCCGACGCTGGGCAGCGCAGCTCCAGGAAATCCGGGAGGACCGTCCAAAGTTTATGGTTACGCCGTCTGCTCTTCTTCGGTCCGAGCCGCCGAGCAGCAGCAGCCCCTCGAGAAGACGGCCTGGCCCGCCCAGAGACCTCGGGAGCTCTCGGGCCCGAGGCGGTCCCCCGACGAGGCCCGCGGAGGCGTGCCCGGAGGCCTAGTGTCAGGCCGAGGGCTGTTTTTTCTATAAGCAGACTCGCGCAATGCGTACTTCCGAAACCCAGAGGGGCTTATGTACGTGAACGTCCTTATTTCGCTCCTGATCTGCCTCCTCCTCCTCAACCCCCCCTCCTCCTCCTCCTCCTCCTCCTCCTCCTCCTCCTCCTGCTCTTCCCCACCTCCACCCCTCCCCCACTCCACCCCTCGCCTTCCTTCTCCCGCTCCCTCCTCCGCTCCCACATCCGCTCCCTCTTCCTCCTCTCCTCCTCCTCCTCCTCCTCCTCCTCCTCCTCCTCCTCCTCCTCCTCCTCCTCCTCCTCCTCCTCCTCCTCCTCCTCCTCCTCCTCCTCCTCCTCTCCTCCTCCTCCTCCTCCTCCTCCTCCTCCTCCTCCTCCTCCTCCTCCTCCTCCTCCTCCCCCTCCTCCTCCTCCTCCTCCTCCTCCTCCTCCTCCTCCTCCTCCTCCTCCTCCTCCCCCTCCTCCTCCTCATCCTCTCTCCTCCTCCTCCTCCCTCCTCTCTTCCTCCTCCTCCTCCCTTTCCTACTCCTCCTCCTCCTCTCCTCCTCCACGTTGTCCTCCTCCTCCTCCTCCTCCTCCTCCTCCTCCTCCTCCTCCTCCTCCACGTTGTCCTCCTCCTTCTCTTCCTCCTCCAACTTTTCTGGCCCTTCCTGGTGCATCAGGCCCCAGAGGTGGCTGACTCTGTCTGGGGCCTCGGCCAGCCGCGCGGCGACTGCAGAGGAGCAGGAGGCCTCGAGGCCACTGGGCCGATCCTCTTCCTCCTGAGCCTTGGTTAGGACGCAGGAGAACATACTAGTACGATGTGTCCTCCTCGGAGGCGTGCGTCCGATCCGAACATCTAGTACACATTCCTCTCAGCGTATCGTTTCCCGAGCGATGTGGCCAGAAAGCGCCCGCAACGACGCATATACTATAAGACTTCTCGGTGCGCGCGTCGCCCCTGGGGGAGCGACGCACACATAGTATCAGAAAGTTGGGGTGACGCCGATTGGTTTTGTTTGCCTGGCCCCGACGGAGCGCGGCAAATGTAAACCGCCGCTCCCAGTGCAGAGGTGCGCCTCACTTGCCTAGGCGGCGAGCCAGGGGGTGAAGTGAGAAGGGGCGGGCCATCTCAGAAGGCTCGGTAGTCCCCCGGACTTCCGAGAGGTTTTCTCAACCTTCCCCGAAGACACAGAACACTTCTGAGAAGGCGCGAGGGCTTCTGAGAAGCCCCGCCGATTTCTGAGGAGGCCTCCTCCTTCTCACTTCCCCCCGGGTGCGCAGCCGAATTTGGGTTTTCGGGTCACAACTCGGGTCTCCAACGGCCGTTCGGCACGATCCCGGCACCCCTGGAACGCTCTCGCCGAGGCACAGCCGCTGGAACGTCTCCCGAGGCTGGACAACCGTCGAGATCCGACGAAAACGTCCGACGACATCGAACCTCGGACCTTGAACCCCCTCGCTCGCCGCCGGTTGCAAGTCCGCGGCGCACGCCACAGCCCGAGCGCAGTGCGCCCCCCACACGTTCGAGCCCGAGCGCGCGGTCGCACCCCTCCGCCGCCCGCCGGCTCTCCCGGGTCGTTTTGCCGTGCCTCTGCTGCGGGACCGACCCCCTCTCTGCCAGCCGCTCACCATCGCTTGGGCGTCCATCTCCAGTGCATGTTGCCGGTGTCGCGCGTCTTTTTGTTCCTCGATGATCGAGGACGCTCCTCGAGGGCCCTCGCCGAGCAAAAGCGCACACGTCCGAGCGACGCCACGAGCAGTGGGTCGGACCTGACGCCCCAGGCCGTGTACGGGCACCGCCCGAGAGGGCTTGCGGCCAGTGCCCCGCGTCCGGTGCGGTGCCGAGCTTGCAGATCTGAGGGGAGTTCTCCGAATGCCTCCGTGCTTCGACCCACCGGTGGCTCCTCTGGGATCGCTGCCTGCCTGCCGCCTCCTCCGCGTCCTCCCCCTCCGCACCACCTCCACACCTCCCCCACCTCCACCCCTCACCTTCCCTCTCCCGCTCTCTCCTCCGCTCCCCCATCCGCGCCCTCTTCCTCCCTCTCCTAAACCTCCCCCTCCTCCTCCTCCGCCTCCTCCTCCTCCTCCTCCTTCTCCTCCTTCTCCTCCTCCTTCTCCTCCTCCTCCCTCCTCCTCCTCCTCCTCCTCCTCCTCCTCCTCCTCCTCCTCCCCCTCATCATCACCACGATTATCATCACCACCACCACGATCACCATCACCATCACCATCACCATCACCATCACCACCATCATCGTCAGCATCATCATCGTAGTCAGCATCAGCATCAGCATTATCATCATCATTATCATCATCATCGTCGTCACCATCATCATCATCATCACCATCAGCATCATCATCATCATCATCATCATCATCACCATCATCATCATTATCATCACCATCATCATCAGCAGCAGCGTCACCACCATCATCATCATCATAAACATCATAAAAATTATCATCAGCGGCAGCATCAGCATCGTCACGATTGTCATCATCACCATCATCACCAGCACCACCATCAACATCTCCATCACCATCGGCATCACCATCACCATCATCAGCATCATCAACATCAGCATCATCGTCATCATCACCATCGTCGTCAGCATCACCATTATCATCATCAGCAGCATCATCAGCATCACCATCACCATCATCATCATCATCATCATCATCATCATCATCATCATCATCATCACCATGAGCATCATCATCAATATCACCACCACCACCATCATCATCATCATCATCATCATCATCATCAGCAACATAACCACCATTGTCATCATCACCATCATCATCACCATCACCAACAACACGACAGGCACCATCATCATCATCACCATCACCATCACCGACATCATCATCACCATCTTCACCATCATCAGTATCACCATCATACTTTTCGTCAGCAGCATCATCACACTCACCATCGTCACCATTTCCATGACCATCACCAACACCACCATCATCATCATCATCATCATCATCATCATCATCATCATCATCATCATCATCGTTATCATCATAACCAGCAGCACCACCACTACGATCATCATCAGCAGCAGCATCAGCATCATCATCATCACCATCATCACCACCACCATCATCATTACCAGCAGCATCAGCATCATCATCAGCATCACCATCACCACCATAATCATCATACTCAGCATCAGCATCAGCATCAGCATCAGCATCAGCATCAGCATCAGCATCATCATTATCATCATCATCATCATCTTCATCATCTTCATCATCATCATCATCATCATCATCATCATCATCATCATCATCATCATCGTCATCTTCACCCCCCCCTCCCCCCCATCCTCCCCCTCCCTCCCCCATCCTCCTGATCCTCCCCCTCGTTCTCCTGCCCGTCCCGTCCCTCTCCTCGCGCTACTCGAGAGGGGCACGACCGACGGAGACTGGGGACGCCGCTCTCCTTGTAGGCGAGGTTCTGCGCGTACGCCATGTTCAGCAGGGCGTGCGTGCCTTCGGGAGGCCGACGAAAGAGCAAACCATCAAGAAGTGAGATCTTCGGACGTCTGGGGACAATTTCTCCGCAGGCGCTGGACACCCCCTCCGCGCCCAGGAATTGCCACACGAAGACAGAGTGCCGGGTTCAGCTCGAATAGAAGACCGATCGCGGCGCCCTCGAGGTTGCAAACTTATGCTCTCGACGATGCCCGATCCAATGGTACACCTGATTCCCCAAACAGTGCTTTCACTTCGGGGTCCTTCATTGAGTTCGGAGAAACTGGGCCTGGCTGCTGGTCTGGCAGCTCCTTGTTCGCCGTCGCCGCCCCATCGCCGCCCGTCGTCTGGTCCTAGTTGCTGGTTTGGCGGATCCGTGCTCACCGTCGCCAGTCCGTCGCCGCCACATCGCCGACCGCCGTCTGGGCCTGGTTTCCCGTTCTGGCGGGTCCGTGTTCGCCGTCGCCACCCCGTCGCCGCCTCGTCGCCACCCCGTCGCCGCCCAGATGATTCTCCTTTCTAAAAAAAGAATAGACTCTACCCCCCCCCGGCGTTATCCGCCCCCTTTCGGGTACGTAAATCAAAATATGATTCTGACCACATGTCCATCATAAATATGATTTTAAACTATCCCAGGGGAATCGGGATCGGTCCCCCTGAGGTTCCCTTATAAAAAACGATACGCGGGGACATCTTTTGCTCTAATATAAGACTTGTTCAAAAACGAAAAGAAGTGCAACAAAAACGAAGTGCACACGCGCGCGTCGTCGCGCGCGCATGCCGAAATACTTCAAAAACCTTCGGTGTCGGACGGATTTCGCAATCGAGTTTCCAAAACACATGCAAAATCACATGGTTTCGCAACACTGGTTTGCTAAAAAAAACTTACGCGCGAGCTCATGCGAAATCTTAAGAAAACCACAAGTTTTCAAGATTTTCACAAAATCCTACCAAATGGGCTTCGCGCGCGCATGTCGAAATCTGTCGAACGCCATTGCGCGCGTGCCGTCGCGAGAATCCTTTGCAAAAAATGGGACGAAGTGCAGACGCGCGCGTCGTCGCGCGTGTATGCCGAAATCCGTCAACATCAATCGATTTCGGAAGGATTTCAAAATCGCGTGTCCAAAAAACCTACAAAAACACAAGGTTTTGCAACACGGATGTTCAACAAAAGCGTGCGCGCGCTCTTGCGTCGTCGTCGTCGTCGTCGTCGTCGTAGCTGTCCTCCCTCCTCCCTCGTCGAGGTCGTCGCCTACGTCGTCCTCTGTCTTTCCTCGTGTTCGTCGTCGTTGTCCTCTTTGGCGTCGTGGTCGTTTCCGTCGTCGTTGTCGCCGTGGTCGTCCTTCCTCCTCCTCCCTCGTTGTCGTCGTCGTCCGTCGTCGGCGTCTCGTCGTCGTCCCTCCTATTTCGTCGCCGTCGTCGTTGTCGTCGTCTTCCCTCCTCCCTCGTCGTTGACGTCGTCGGCGTCGCCGACCTCCCTCTTTCTTCGTCGTTCTCGTCGTCGCCGTCCTGCTTCATCCCTCGTCGTTGTCGTCGTTGTCGTCGTTGTCGCCGTCGTCGTCCTCCCTCCTCCCTCGTCGTCGTCTTCGTTGGCGACGTCGTCGTCGTCTTCGTCGTCGTCGTTGACGTCGGCGTCGTCGTCGTCTTCGTCGTCGTCGACGTCGGCGTCGTCGTCGTCGCCGCCGCCGCCGCCGTCGTCGTCGTCGCCGCCGCCGCCGTCGTCGTCGTCGTCGTCGTCGTCGTCGTCGTCGGCGTCGTTGACGTCGTCGTCGTCGTCGGTGTCGTCGTTGTCGTCGTCGTCGGCGTCGTCATCGTCGTCGTCGTTGTCATCGTCGTCGTCGTCATCGGCGTCGGCGTCGTCGTCTTCGTCTGTGTCGTCGCCGTCGTCGTCGTTGTCATCGTCGTCGTCGTCGTCGGCGTCGGCGACGTCGTCGTCGGTGTTGGTGTCGTCGTCGTCGTCGTCGTCGTCGTTGTCGGCGTCGTCGAAGTCGTTGGAGACGTCGTCGGTGTCGTCGTAGTCGTTGTCGGCGGCGTCGTCGTCGTTTTCGCTGTCGTCGTCGGCGTCGCCGTCGTTGCCAAAGTGCCATTTGGTACCCACCGTCACGGGCTTAAGAGATTTTGCAAACCAAGTTGCGGGTGGGTGCGTGGGATGTTTGCGCGAGCAGTGGAGTGGACAATTCACTGCGAACAGAAGTTAATTACACAACATAGATTGTTCCACATAGATTCCACAACATAGATTGCAGCGCGTCGATTGCACCGCTCAGAAGGCATCACGTATCTGTCCCCCACATAGACTGCACCACGCCGATTGCACCAAGTCGACTGCAACACGTAGATTGCGCACCACATAGATTGCACCATCTAACCTGCACCACAAACATTGCACAACATAAACTGTAGAACGCATATTACACCGCACATCCGCCACCGTGCCTGCACGAAGTGGGCGTGTTCGAGTGCTCCGTGGTCCCTCTGGGAAAGTGTTTGAATGTTTTCGAGAGCTGACCCCCCGCCCCTGCACGGCAAACGAGGTTCAAAGGTCGCCCCCCTGAAGTTGATTCCCAGCGCGCTCTTCGGCCTCCAGACGGCCAAGATGGCCTCCAAGACGGCTTTCAAGACAGCCATGACGACAACAAAAAGGCTTAAGATGGCCCAAGGCAGCTCAATAGCCTCTCAAGAGAGCCTCGAAACGGCTCAAGATAGCCCAAGAAGGCCACAAGACGGCCCAAGAGGCCCCCAAGACGACCCGAGTGAGCTCCAAGGGGCCTTCCTGGAGGACGGCTTTCAAGGCAGCCAAGATGACGCAAAGATGGCCCAGAACGTCTCAAGAGGCTCTCAAGGCAGCCTCAAGACAGAACAAGAAGCCCCCACACACGAGGTTTCCAAGATGCCACCCTGGAGACCCCAAGGAGGCCGAAACCATTCATTGTCCTTAGGTTTTTGAAAGACGTTGAGTTTCTCACCTGTTCGGGTTTTCAACCGCACACCACGGCCCAAGAAGCCTCCAAAAGGGCTTCAAGATAGCTCCAAGGTAGCCCAAGAGGCCCCTAAGAAGCCCCCCAAGAAGCTTTCAGGAAGCTCCCAGGAAGCCCCCAGTAAGCCCCAAGCAGGCCCCACGAAGCCTTCAAGTGATGGTGCTAGAAGCACACTACTGTTTGAGGCCCACGCTGGCCAACATGGCCCCCTAACTGCCACGAAACTCGAGGTTTGGTAGAAAACACTTTGGGTGACCCTCAAGGGGGTCCAGATGAAAGGGCGTGGTGCAATAGGTTTGGGGCAATTGTGTTACAAACGTATTGCGTCGGAGAATTCTGCATTGTATTGCAACCAATGCAGTACACGCGAAAATGCAGCAATACATTTGCGCCCCGAGCATGGCACGCCCCAAAAGTACTGCAACCCCACCAATCTATGGCACCAGATCTGTTGCACCACCCCCTCGTCGCTTCGACCCCCTCTCGGGCCAACCCGAAACACTTCGACCCCAGCCGCACGGGAACGGCGCACCAGCGCCAGAAGTGCGCCCCGGCGACTCCGGGGCCTCCAGGGCGGCCCGGAAGCCCGCGAGGGGGGAGGGGAAAAGGCAAGCCAAGGCGCCTCGACCCTCGAGCTTCGGCCTTCCCGCGAGCTCACCCCTGCTCCTCCCGCTCCCGCGGACCAGCGCGGAGCTCTGCGCCGTCCGTGGACGCCCGCAGGCCATGCTTTACGCGAGTAGGGGATCGACGACATCATTGACTGCGACCTGATTCGGGGATGGACCCCCGGGGTCTAGTGAAAACGACTTCGGGCCCAAACCTGGCGGGCGCAAGCCTGGAAAATGACGGCCGCGGCGCCCTCTCGAGAACCGAAAACGGGCAATTCGCTGATCGACGTGTCAGGGTGGGGGTTTTGCCCACCCCCGATTGATTTGCTCCTGCCGGATCCATTATTTTCCGTGTGTTCGAAAGGAACATCAATTTCGAGGTAAATCAATCCTGTAGTCGATCTCCTACTCGACTTACGTGCGCGCGCGCGCGTGTGTGTGTGTGGCGTGGGTGTGTGGTGTGTGCTGGCGCGCGCGGGGCTGCCTCTTGGGCTACCTCCCGCCCTATGCAGCTGCGTACTCCCGCTCGGCCTCGGCCGCCCCGATCGTCCTCGTCGCTCGCCGTGCTGCGCCTCCAATCGCGGGGACCTGGCCTTTCCACTCACTGCACCCTCGCTGCCCATGCCTGGGTGCGCGGATGGCTGCTCCGAGCGGCACCCCGCACGCGCGCGCCCGCCCGTTCGGTGACGTTCTCCGCCTCGACGCTTCGTGCAAGGCCGCGACCGCCCCCAAAGTGTGTGTGTGTGTTTTTTGTTTTGTGTGTGTGTGTGTTTGGTGTGTGTGTGTGTGTGTTGCCCCCTCCCAAAAAAGGGGGGTCTGTGTGAGTGCCTACATATGTGTGTGTGCGCGTGCGTGTGTTGTTGTTTGCTGGCCCCCCAGGTACTGTTCGTCATCGTCGCCGCGACATTTGGGGGGTCGTCGTGGAACACGCTGTTCACCACCAGACTCATGTTGTCAAGGACGTCTTTCATGTGCGCCAGGCTCTCGTACGCCGGGTGTATGTTCGAGGCGAACATGTAAGCCAGGGCGTCGCAGGCCTGTGTCGTGTTCGAGTACGCCAGCTTGGCGGTGTCGATTCGGAGGAACTTGTTCCTGAACTCGATGTTGTCCGTCACTCCGTCGAGGGCCAGAGACATGGTCAGCGACATCTTCTCGGGATTCCTGATGTCCCAGCTCTGGATGCGCTTGCCGACGCCCGTGGTCTTGTCGTGGAGCGCCCTAACCTCGTCCTTCATGTCGTTCAGGAACCACGCGAGCCGCATCAAGTACCTAACATCTCCCTCACTTTGAGCAGGGACCGCCCGTGCCGGCATTCCTACAAGCTTACCACGGCATGTTGTGAGAACGTCCCAAAAAGCTCGAAAAACAAAAGCAGTGCTCTTAGAACACAAGGAAGTCCGGTGTCTTAGAACAAGATAGTCTCAGTCAGAAGTGTTCTAAGAGCACGTCGTGCAAATCACAAGCAGTTTCTTAGAACATTCTTTGTTGGCCTATAGGCAAGCCAGAACAGTTCGCCACTGCTCGATCAGTATCGCCGCCCCCGCGACCTTCCCCCGCGGTGCGTGCTGGCCAGGACGCCGGGGCGGATATCTGGCAGGCCGCGGCGACGAGCCCTCCCCCCCCCACCGAGCCCCAGCAGTTCAAGTAGGAGATCGACTACATAATTGATTTACTCACGAACTGCTCTCTTCGCCGAGAATGCTCGTAGATCTATGGGGTTATGCGTGTTCATCGTAGATTCGAAGAAAAACCATGTTGAGGCAAATCAACTTTGTAACCGATCTCCTGCTCGAGAAGTACAAATAAGCACGGGAGCTGCCATCTGATGGGGTACTGCTGGTCGTCGTACGCGTCAGTGGCGTTCGTACTGTTGATGAAGTCGTGCGCCTTGTGCTGGACGGCCTCCTCCATCGCCGCGGCGGCGCCAGCGACCTTGAAGCGGATGGCCTCCAGGCGCTCCGCGAACTGGGCGTTGTAGGCGGGGCGGTCGAAGACCACGGCGTCGTGTGCCATGCGGCTGATCGTGTGCTTCATCTCGGTGAGGGTGTCGTCGGGGATGTCGAGCAGCTTCAGGACTTCCTGGCCGGCGCGCCAAGGGGAGGAGCTGAACGTCTTCTTTTTCAGCGCTTCGACACTGGGCAGAAGAGAGGGGGTGGGAGGGGGGTAGGTCTGGCTCCAGACCTCTGCTTCGTGCGACTGTTTGCAGCAGTGCGTCCCATGGGGGGGGACTCCACCTGCTGGAAACAGGCGCCAAAAACAGCCAAGATCTGCACCTTGAGGGTGGGGAGTGG